TGAGTTGGTAAAACAAAAGTGTCATGCTCACCAAGGCTGCATTTATTTAATCAAAACTACAATAAAAACAGTAATGTTGTGAAATATTATTACAAATTAAAACAACTGTTTTTCTAGTTGAATATATTGTAAAATGTAATTTATTCCTGTGATCAAAGCTGAATTTTCAGCATCATTACTCCAGTCTTCAGTGTCACATGATGATTTGCTTCAGGATTTCCTCTGGATTTTTTTTATTTTAGTTTAGTTACTGTAATTTAATTACTTTTCCCTTGAAAATGTAAAGTAAGGGATTACTCTTAATTTATCTGTAATTTAATTACAGTTACTTCTGATGTAATTGAGGTAAATACTGTGTATAGATCAATCCGATCTCACAGCGATTCGTATGCATTTTATGAGGTGTCTAAATTGTAAGACCGCACTCGTACAAATTAGTATGAATTATTGTAAAATATGTATGAAAAAAGTGTGAAATGTCATGAGATCAGACACAAAACAATAGTGGGTTTAACATCAAAATGTATTGTCTGATGCTAAAAAGTATGTTTTATAATGTAACCTTCTCCACCTTGGTCTGTTTAAGGATAATTCATGCAATTTTATAGTATTTATTTGAAAGAATTAAAACAGATTCATGTCTATCCTTGTATTATTCAGCTGGTTGAGATTGATATGGTATTTTGAAAGTAATTAGTAATTAAAAGTAATGAAATACTTTTTAGAGAGAGTAATTAGTACAGTAATTGAATTACACTGTTGAAGAGGTAATTAGTAACTAGTAATTAATTACTTTTTAGATTAACTTACCCAACACTGCATTAATATCATATGTCATTTCATTAAGCTCTCTCTCTCTCTCTCTCTCTCTGTCTCTAGGGGTTCCCTTCATCCTCCGGTGTGGAAAGGCTCTGAATGAGAGGAAGGCAGAGGTGAGGCTGCAGTTCACCGACGTTCCTGGAGACATCTTTGACTCTCAGTGCAGGCGGAACGAGTTGGTGGTCCGCGTGCAGCCCAACGAGGCCATCTACGCCAAGATGATGAGCAAGAAACCTGGAGTCTACTTCAGTCCGGAGGAGACGGAGCTGGACCTGACCTACCACAGCAGATACAGGGTATTAAACGGACACCTTTAATACATCCATACTCTGTTTTGTCCTATTATGCAACTTTGGCCATCAATTGTAGAAAATTGGTTAATTTCTATAAAACAGAAAACAAACAATCTTTAGTAAAGTTACTTCTCTTTATAAATGTACCTTTCTCTTATTGTCTTTACAAAGGATGTTAAGCTGCCTGATGCTTATGAGCGACTGATTTTGGATGTCTTTTGTGGCAGTCAGATGCATTTTGTTCGCAGGTGAGTTTGTTACAAGCTACTGTGTTTACATATGCACACAAATAAAAGGTTAGCAGTTAGATTGATGACTCGGTTGGACTGAAAAGCCTTCACGTAAACAATACTGAATTTTACCCGTGTACACAATACAGCTGCGTTTATTAGAAGGCCAATGAGTTTGCAAGAATTAAAGGGAGCTTTCAATTTTCCTTGAGCTTTTGACATCTAAGAGGTCATCATATTATAAGAATATCCTGTAAGTTTCAGAACTGAAAATGTCCTTGTTAGTCCAATAAAAGCTTTTATTGACACCAGCCCCAGCAAACGACTCGTTTTTCAAAGTGGGGAACTATGGCCAAAGAGGATAAAACACCACCCCCGCAGAAGAAGATCAACGCCTACTTCAACACTGCCGGTTTAGCCCCGCCCACCGATTCGCGCATTACACGCATAGCTAAATAACATAGATGCCTACCTCGTAATGACAAACCAGATCGAGCTACCGAGCAATAAATATGCACTGACGAGTGAAACTCATTATAATATGCAAAACTGTTATCCACTCACAGCAGTGGGCGTTTACTTCCAAGTCTTCAGTGCGAGACGCCCATAAAAACCGAGCGTTTTTCAGCTAGGCTCAAAACTAGGGTAGAAAATAGCCTATTACTTATTCAGTTTGATGATTTTTAAATGTAAAAATCAAGCGAACGTCATAAGTTGACCTCAGACAATATAAAAAAATTTATAAAGCCAGTTCATGACCCCTTTAAATAAACACTATGACGCAAATATTGTCATAATTCATCAACAGAAAATCAATAAGAAATCGTTTGGTTTAAATGCGTGGCATTCATTGACCGTGAACCACTTAAACCGCGAGCCTGCAGAACGTTTTTACTTTGAAACATGCAGCGCTCGCAATTTAATAATCACCTTTTCAAGTTTAATAATCACATTAGGCCATATTGAGATTCCTGTTTTTCTGTCCCCAAATTTATACCTAGAAATGGTAATTAAGACTTTTCTTGTACATCATATCACAGTGGGCTCCACACATAATATGTTTGTTTTTAATCCAGAATCCATTAAAAAAATAATCGGTTGAATTATCGGTTATCAGTCAAACCTAAATATCGGTAAAATCGGTCGACCTCTAATTGGCACCCTTGATAAATATGAGCAAAACAGACTGTGGACCTTTGTTTTTGCACTTTCTCTTAGTGTGTAATTTTGTGAATGTGTTGTGACTATTTCATCCAGCCAGTGGATCAAAAATAAGTTAATATGCGATCTAAAAACATAAAGAATTAGGACGATTTTGACTACTTTATTTCTTAAAAATGGGTTAAAGGCTGAGATATGAGGTTTGTCATTTTATATTTTTTTTGTCTTTACAGTTCATATGTTACCATAGATCTTTCCTGCTAATGTGGCATTCGTTTTATTTGTCAGGTCTTTAAAAAAAGACCTTTGTTTGTTTGAAATGCATGTAATGCACATTTCATTAAATATGTGACGCACTAATGTAAATTTGATTAAAGAATATAAAGAACTGTCTCTGAATTTAAAGTGACGAGTTGAGGGAAGCCTGGAGAATCTTCACTCCTCTTCTTCATCAGATCGAGAAAGAGAAGACGCCACCCATCAAATACAAATACGGGAGGTAAAACATGCTTATTTTTCTGAAAGTGATTGTGGATGCAGTGACATGACGTGTAATGCGTCTCATGTTCTCTCTCTCATATAGCCGTGGTCCTGCAGAGGCTGACGAGCTGGTGCAGAAGGTGGGCTTTCGCTATGAGGGTACATACAGATGGGTGAACCCACACAAACTGTGAAAGAAGAGGACGAGTGGAGCTGAAGCCTGTTTAAAATCATCAGCCGAGATGAGCGCCTGAATTAAAAGGCACTTAAATAGTATTTGAAGATGCACTGCAAGCACTCATTTAAAGAAGGACCAACAAACAAGATTACAAACACATGATGTCGTATAATGATTTATAGGACATCCCTTATATTATTTCTTTCTATATCTCAGTGGACTTAACATTTTATGCAGTTAATCAGCATTCTGATATTCACGCCGATTCCATACCGTCTGTGTTCAGATGCTTTATTCCTTAAGAAAAAAAAAGCTTATGTATTGCATTCCTCTTTTCACAAGCAAGTCTTACCATTAAATGCTGCTCACATTTTTAAAAGTGATTATAGGCAGAGGCATGGTGTAAAAGTACATCTACTCCTCCACTGATAGTTGTCTTAATGCGTTTTGTTTTGTCACGACTTTGGTTGCAATCTTATGTTTAAATGGTATAATTGGACCACGCAAAAGAAAAGTTGCAGGGACGTACAGGGATTAGGAATGTATGAGTAATGTTGTCTTTGTTACTACATGAATGTTTATGCCATTTCACCAGGTCTTAAGGCTCCCACTGATTGGCTTAAAGAGCCATGATCATGTTTAGTCTTATTAAAGCAAATGTATTGGTAAAATGGGATTACATGCCACATCCCTCTGTTTATACTTTAATGGATGAGCTTTGATGATCATTCTTACCTATGATCTAAAAATGCATGGCTATAGTTTTTTTCTGCTTGATATAATTTTTGGTTTCAGCACTATTTAGACATTGAACCAGTGTCAAAAAACAACTTTGTTAGCCTGCGTATGTATTGAGGGTACATTTTTGACAGCACTGAATTTCAATATCATGTTAGGGTGCCTAAAACAACTTTAGAAAACGTTTTGTTTTAAGATGCTTGAACATCTGTGAGCTATTTAATTTTTCTGTAAAAGTTCTGCCCTATGTTTTCTATTTTATTATAATAGACTGCTACTTTTACAATAAAGCATAGCTAAGATGCCTTGCATGTGTCTCATTGCTTCCTCTTTTTCCATTTAGTCTCTTAAGTTCATATTCTCTTTGTTTTGGACAGTTTTGAAAAAGACATTGAGTGAGTTAGCCTGTCTGTTTTCCATGGTCATAACATTGGAATATTACAAAATTTTACAATTGTGGTGTCCAAGCTTGGAAACTTTTGTACACAAATAAGCATAATGTTTTTATGTTATGTCATACACAAATCCCACACAGCAAAAAACAAAACAAAACAACAAAAAACACAGTAAACATGAATGACTGGAAATGTAGAGAAATCATTTATCAAAAAATTAGTATGGGCTTTGAAATCCATCTGGATGTAATACATAGACTTTTGCTCAAATAGTGCTGTACTCTGATTTTTATTCATTAATAGGATTATAATGTAAAGAATTGTTTAAAAACAAACAAACCCGCATATAAATATTCGGTTACACTTTATTTTAAGGTGTCAGTGTTACCGTGTAATTATACATTTGAGTATTGAGTAATATTAAGCAGCTAAGTGACATATACTTATTAAAAGGTTAGGATTTGGTTGAGGGTTAACTTAGGTGTGTATGTGTGTGTTTTCTGTTGTTGTTGCATAATTTATTACTATGGTAAGTACATGTAATTATCTAACAAAGACACTGTAAAATAAAGTGTTACCAAGTTTACTTCCATAAATGCGTTCTTTCTCTATAAACCTTGGTTTCGCGTAACTTAATTTCCAATGGGTTTGAACTTTTACGAGGGAACACAATAAAGGACTTTTATCGTAGTTATCACCGGAAGGACTTTACTCTCCTAACATCCGTCTTCCGGTTATGGGCAACATGGTTGTGGAGGTGTAACTGTGTCCATCTGCCTGCTTATTCGCTTCTGTTGAAGAGCGTTTGTCACGTTGACAGCTATAATTAAATCAAGTAATATATTTATCAAGCAGCCCAGCGGTCAAAATGAATATACGCAACGCACGGGTGAGTAAATGAGAGGAGAAGCAAACATGAGGTCAGTCATCAGACAGTAGCTGTGTCTCAAAACCCTGTTATGGACGACACATCACAACGAGGCATCAAGTGCAGATATTCAGTGTTAGTTGTTTGTCTTTTTATTTGATCCACCTTTTGTGTTTTATTCGTCTTCAATGTGATGTAAGTTACATTGCATGCACACTCTTTGCTCCGTTTAAAGGGGCCGCGTTCTGTACTTTTGTTTAATTTCTATTCCATGAGCTCCTGCACCAAAAACAGCCATAGTTTAGTTATGTATGACTTCTCCACAGCCTCTCTCTGAATATTAAATTTTTTTTTTTTTTTTGCTAATGTATTTTGTGTAAATGATTCAGTACTCTTGAAGGTTACAGTAGTGAATAGCTTGACTGGTTGATTTTTCTCTTATATTTCAAGCCAGAGGATTTGATGAACATGCAGCACTGCAACCTGCTGTGTCTTCCAGAGAACTATCAGATGAAGTACTACTTCTACCACGGCCTGTCCTGGCCACAGGTCTGTAACTGGCTCTGATCTGTTACAAACTCTGATTTCTATAATGAGATTTTCACCTCTGCCTTCTTGATTGTTTGTAATCTTTGAAACATGCCTTTCTGTCAAGCTTCTTCGATATGTTTCAACACACCAAACAAATAAATGCGAGTTGAATCATCTTATGGTGAACTGCTGTGCTTGTTTTCCAGCTGTCATACATAGCAGAGGATGAGAACGGGAAGATAGTTGGATATGTTTTGGCAAAAATGTAAGTGTTGTTTTTCTTGTTGTTAAATGTTGACAGGGTGGAAGTGTGAGACGTTGCATATGTCCATGACTAATTATAATGTAATAAAAATAATTAATTATAATGAAATAAAACATTCTGTCCCACTTTACATTTGGTGTCTTTAAAGGATTCATTTAGCCATAAATGAAAATGATCTCATAATTTTCTTCCCCCTTAAGTCATCCTAGGTGTATATGAGATTCTTCAGTCGAACAGAATTATGAGTTATGTTAAGAAAATCAGAGTTATGTTAAAAAAATACCCTGGCTCTTCCAAGCTTTATAATGGGAGTGAATAGTAACTGAGAATTTCAAGGCCCAAAAAAGCGCATCCCTCCATCATAAAAGTAATCTATAATAATATATGGATTATCCATATTTATGCAATATTCAAATATTCATATTTATAACTAGGGATCGACCGATATGGATTTTTTAGTGCCGATACCGATACCGATTTTTTTCCCATCAGCCTTAGCCGATGACCGATACGGGCTGCCGATTTTCTTGAGCCGATATTTGGAGCCGATACATTTTGCTCCCTCAATTTACATCTTAAAAATAACATGATGTTAACAAATGTTACAAGTCTCAATTTAATAAAAGTAACATTTAACTAACTTCAAAAATTAATATTTAACAAATAGTAAAAAACATGTGAGGTAGAACAAGAACAAGTAGATAAACAATTTAAAAAATATTAAAAACATGAAGTAGAACAAAAAAAGTTCAGTGCTGAAAATGAATATTTAAGCATAAATTAAATAATTACACTATTGCACAGAGTAGCAACCAGCATAATAAAGTGCACAGTGCACACTGTACTTCATTTTAAAAGAAACGAACTATGTACTGCATGGTTTCAATTTTCCTACATAAAATAAAATGAGCATGTCTAGTCTCTAATATTACTGCGATTGCGAGGGAGACAAACTCCACACGCCCCAAACCTCAGCCAGGTGAGCGCTGAATAAATCTCCCACAAAAAGCACAGAATAACGTTGGCATTCCTTAATCCTATGACCAGAGTTCGTTACCGTATGCATACTAGGGCTGTCAAAATTGCTCAAATGGCGTTTGCATATTCCCTCTAAAAAACATATTCGAACATCCCGTTGCGCGTTTTGTTGTTGACGCGCATTACATCAATAACAGGACACATTAATAAAAAGAGACGTAACTACTAGTATTAGATGGTTTATTTGAGTTTAAACATATTTGACAACGTATTAAAAAGCAAGTAAATCAACTAATGGCCAAGACCGCAAAGCTCACTCTGTCTCGCCCTGGACTCGCTCAGGCACTCTCTCTCGCCCTCACGGTCTCTGCGCGTCGGTTAAATGAACAACAAACAAATGTTGAGTGCTAAACAAGAGTTTTGTGCAAGAAATTTAAGGTTGCGAGTCGCGACTCTTGTCCCAAATATAGCAGGCTTCAGTTCATTCAGTGATTGAAGTTTCACAGTATAGAACCGACAGTGAGCGCTCCGAGCGAGCTGTGCAGCTGTGGTAACGTTATTAGTCTGCAACCGCGGGCGTGTTTTTCCACATTCAAATATTAATTTTCACCTTCAAAATTAATAGATATTCGAATGTAGAATATTCATAGACAGTCCTAATGCATACTGAACGGATAACCTACACCTTAACTATTTGCAGCTTCTTAATACAATGGCAAGCAGTTAAGTTTTATAGACGAGGCATTCGCGTTTTCCATTTGGACCCACAAACTTGCTTTGTTGCAAGCACATAACAGTTATAGGGCGACGTGTTTCCATTTTCAAAGTGTTTGACAATATTTCAGGAGTCAAACATTTAAAAGATCCTTTGAAAGTTTAAGTTACCATTCTCGTGAAGAGCAGGTTGCGTTGCACTCTGCTAGTGGAGGAGGGCGGGGCATGTGAACTGCAGCATCTCCAGCAGCACGGAGCTGCCCGTGGCCGCCTGTCTATAAAAAAACTATCGGCAAACGCGCAGCGGTGTATCGGCCGATTCCGATACACGTAAAAACCTCAAATATCGGCCCGATATATCGGCCGGCCGATATATCGGTCGATCACTATTTATAACTTAATAAACCATAATCACTGGCTACGGGCGTACGTTAGTCTAGTTCGGGTGGAAGAGTGACCTCTGACCCGATGCAGGAGTAGCTAAGCGTAGACTCCTCTCACGGTTCAAATTGACCTATTTCAGTGTTTGCTAACAGCAATGACGTTTTTTGTGGGCGGAGCCTACCTGGTGGCAGAAAATGGCAATATAATGCAGTAGCAATCTGTGAAAGCCACGGAATAAAAAGTAAATTTCGAGTTTATATCCCGCAATTCTGACTTTTTTCCCCTCAGAATTGTTAATGAGTTATAAAGTCTGGACTGGCAAGAAAAATAGTCAAGAATTGTGAGACAAAAAATGTTATAGGCTATGTTTAAAAGTTATGTCAAATGTAATGGGTTTAATATTATTTCCTGCTGTAACTGCTATGTATGCATGTCCCCTATGAATATTATGTAGACTTACTGTGAGCATCAAAACGTCATGCGTCGGGTCATAGGTCAGACTTGCTGCAGAACCAGACGTACGGACGTTATTGGAAGCTGGTGATTATAGTTATAAATATGGATCACTTCGCTTCGGAAGGCATTTATTAACCGTCTGGAGCTGTACGAATTATTTTTATGATGGAGGGATGCACTTTTTGTGGGGTTTCAAAATTGAAGGTACCATTCACTGCCATTACCAAGCTTGGAAGAGGCTGGCTATTATTTAATATAACTCGGATTATGTTCGTTTGAAAGAACATAGTCTTTTACACCTAGGGTGAGTAAATTATGGGATTTTTAAATTATGGGATTTTTCTTTACTACCATGGTCACACATTTAAATTGATCATTTGATACAATGCACTTATTGTGTACAAGTTTTTACGTTGTACTTATATTTTCACCTGCATGTAATTACATTTTGTAATTAATTTCTGTAATTACATCTAAATTTCCCACCCTTAAACCAACCCTTACTACCAAACCTGTCCTAACCTCACCTCAATAGCAGCACAAGCGTTTTGCAATAGATCAACACAATAAGTACATTGTACCTTGTAAGTAGTAGTTAAAGCTGCAGTCTGTAGCTTTTTTTGGGGTTAAAATACATATTTAAATATTTAAATTAGGGCTGTGCAAAAATTAATTGCGATTAATCGCAACCAAAATAAAAGTCTGTGTTTACATAATATATTTGTGTGTGCTGTATATGATTATTTTGTATATATAAATACACACACATGCATGTATATATTTAAGAAAATGTGTTATTCATATATGAAATATTTATATAATATAGAGTATGTATTTATGTATTTATATATATATATATATATATATATATATATATAGACCATTTCACAAGATGTAAACAACACTGGCCCAGAAGCACTTCAAACACAATAAAGAAAACAGTTACAAACTGAAACAGGAAGTGTTTCTGGACCAGTCTTGTTTACATCTTGTGAAATGGTCTATATATATATATATACAGAATTTAAGCGCAAATAATTCTTAAATATATACATGCATGCATAGGTATTTATATATACAAAATAATTATATACAGCACACACAAATATATTATGTAAACACAGACTTTTATTTTGGATGCGATTAATCGCAATTAATTTTTGCACAGCCCTAATTTAAATACATACATAACCAGCCTGTGTTCAAAACAATGATACATATCAGAAGTACATTACATTTAGTCCTGAGGGTGTTGAAGTATTACTCGCGTAAAGTTAATAATTCCACGAATTTCTGCAATTGCAGATTTCGAACAGAGATGGCGACAAAAAGGAAAAACGCCGGACTGCAGCTTTAATGACATCTAATATAACATTTTAATGAAATAAGTATCATTTTATGTTAACTGTGTGTCTTAAATTCCAAAGGGAGGAGGATCCTGATGATGTGCCTCATGGACACATTACATCACTGGTTAGTGTTTGAAGACAACGGCTGTTATTTTGTATCATCTGTACTGATAATGTCTTTCATTCTGTCCACATGTGACAAATTCACTGCTGTGTGTGTTGATACAGGCCGTTAAACGCTCTCACAGGCGTCTTGGACTGGCTCAAAAACTGATGGATCAAGCCAGCAGAGCCATGATTGAGAACTTTAATGCCAAATATGTGTCTTTGCATGTCAGGAAGAGGTAGGATCTACCAGCACCTTCACTCTCTGTCATCTGGGATTCGCGGAATGGATTTTCCTAACCTTGTTGCATTTGTTTGTATTTCAGTAACCGGGCCGCACTTCACTTGTACTCAAACACGCTTAAGTTTCAGTGAGTATCACTTAACCCCCCCATTTTATCATATTTGTATATTGAATAAATTCTGACTCTGTTTATTAATATTAAATGAATTCAACTTGTCTTAAAGGGTTAGTTCACCCAAAAATGAAAATTCTGTCAGTATTTACTCACCCTCATGTTGTTCCAACCCTGTAAGACCTTCGTTCATCTTCGGAACACAAATTAAGATATTTAAGATATTAAGATCGCTCCTGCATACTAGTCCATAGGCTTCTTGAGGGACTGGCTCTTGCTGTCCTCGAAAAGTCATTAAAGACATCGTTAAAATAGTCCAAGTGACTACAGGGGCTCAATCTTAAGTTTATCAAACGACGAGAACACTTTTGTGCGCAAAAAAACAACAAAAATAACGACTTTATTTCAACTATTCGTTTATTTCTCCCTCTGCGCGAGTCAGGTTACTAGTTTAATAGCGTAAGCTTCTGTTATTGTACGTCACACGCATCACACACACATGACCAGCGTCGGCCAATGGTGAGCCTACGTGTGACGTAGCTCTACGCAATCACACTACGTTAACTGACTTACAGGCTCATGGAGAAGGAAGTGAATAGTTGAAATAAAGTCGTTATTTTTGTTGTTTTTTTGCGCACAAAAGTGTTCTCGTCGTTTGATAAACTTAAGATTGAGCCCCTGTAGTCACTTGGACTATTTTAACAATGTCTTTAATGACTTTTCGGGGACAGCAAGAGCTAGTCCCTCAAGAAGCCTATGGACTGTATGCAGGAGCGATCTTAATATCTTAAATATCTGAATTTGTGTTCCGAAGATGAACGAAGGTCTTACGGGGTTGGAACAACATGAGGGTGAGTAAATACTGACAGAATTTTCATTTTTGGGTGAACTAACCCTTTAAGACCAGCTTAATTAACTGATTGATTAAATCTAATAATTAATTAGTGTTTTAAAGGAGTAGTTCACTTTAAAAAAAACTTTTTGCCGATAATTTACTCACCCCCATGTCATCCAAGATGTCCACGTCTTTCTTTCTTCAGTGGTTATGACTCAAACAGATTTGTTCATTTTGATGAACGAGTTCGAACAGGAGAGTCACAAACGCGCGTCACAGAACAGAGCAAGGCGAGCATTTGTGCTTAGAAAACTTTATTTATTTTTTAAATGAGCGATCATTTCGCTTGATAAGACCCTCATTCATCGTCTGGTGTCGTTTAAAACCCTTTAAAGCTGCTCTGAAACTCTCATTTGGACTTTGAACCGTTTGGTTCCCATTGAACTCCATTATCTGGAGAAAAATCCTGGAATGTTTTCATCAAAAACCTTAATTTCTTTTCGACTGAAGAAAGAAAGACATGGACATCTTGGATGACATGGGGGTGAGTAAATTATCGGCAAAAGCTTTTTTAAAAGTGAACTACTCCTATAAATAGACGGCACAAGAATAAACATATTTCCAAAGCAACCTGAGATTCTAACTCTATTTCAGTCATAACACCTGTTATTGTATGAGAAACTGAACTAAATTGCAGGCACATCAAAGACCCCGTTTACACCTGGTATTAAAATGCGATCTGTATCCAGATAAGTTATCCGGATAATAAAAAACGCATGTTAATGCAAGGTGTAAACGCGTTGTGATCGGATCGTGATCGGATCTGCCTGACCACATCTGGAGGTAGTCTGGCTCGCATTGTGTCCGGATCTTTATTAGGTGTAAACGCAATCTGGTTGTTGAAACCACATATGTATATTTTACTCCTCCCAAAAATGCTAAAAAATAAACGAGTGAGAGCGTGTTATATAGGCTATATGTCATGTTATAGCCTAGTCAGATGCGACACGCGACACGCATCACCGCAGATGAGCAGCTGAGCGTCTATTCAACGTGCAAACATCGCAAATAAAAGTGAAAGTAAATCACAGACGCAGTTAACACATCTTCAAGTAAAGAAACGAAATTATCTTACCAGGCCTGTTGCCACTCTCTCTTATTGATGTCTCTGATTTGGAAATTAGCTGATGATCAATAAAATGCCGCTCAGATCTGTTGCTTTTGGTGGCGTGCAATCCAATAAATCTGCATATAACGCAGGAGGTGAAGATCGGATTTATATCCGTTTTGCAAAAACACATTTATGTGGCCAGGTGTAAATGGAATCAGTACTTATTATCCGGATAACTTATCTGGATACAGATCGCATTTTAATACCAGGTGTAAACGGGGTCAAAGATGCAGTAAGCGATTTCTCTGAGAAGCGATTTTTTTTTTTTTTTTGTTGAAAGTGGTTCGGATCGAGCAGCATAACACACCTGTAGCCAATCAGCAGTAGGGGGTGTGTTCACTCATGATGGGGGAGGAGAGAGACTTAGCCAATCAGCAGTAGAGGGCGTGTCCAGTCATGATGGGGGGAGGAGAGAGACTGAGCCAATCAGCAGTAGGGGGCGTGTCCTTTCATGATTTGGGAGGGCAGAGAGTGAGCCAATCAGCAGTAGGGGGCGTGTCCTGTCCCCTCATGATGGGGGAAGAGAGAGAGTGAGCAAGAGGGTGATTTGGAGAAAGACTGTAGAAAGAGAGATGCTGAGAGACATTACAAAAGTGAAATCTCAGAAGAATACCACTGGAAAAAGAAGCGTTACGATAAGGCAAGAGCTTCAGAAGCTGTCCAGTGCAAGAGAGACCGAAGCGGGAAGTCCTGAAAACAGAGGTTTCTGCTCCATATGCGAGTAACATTGGTTTTGAGTCTGTTCAACAGAACCAAGATATGCTGTTGTTGTAATGTTAGCTCTAGTAACAGGAGCTGCTGGCGATTAACAACAAACTCTTACTTATATAGAGTTACTCTTGTGTACTGTATGGTTCAGCTATGATAAAGAGACATCCACTCTTGCATAGTGTTCATGCATTTTGGGGGTGGAGCAAAAAAGGGAGGGTGTGTGTTTTTTTTTTGGTTTGATTTCAAATAGCAACAGTGTTTCTCTGAAATCATTTACTGTACCTTTTAAGTGCATTTTTTCAGTATATGTACTGATACTGCGTTGTATCATAGTAATGCAAAATGTTTTCATCACTGTTCATACTATGTTGCAGGATTAGTGAAGTAGAGCCCAAATATTATGCCGATGGAGAAGATGCTTATGCCATGAAGAGGAATCTCACACAGATGGCAGATGAGGTATGGAGCGGTGCAGTTATACATAATTATGTGATGCCAAATACAGCTTTTCCCCTCAATTTAAATTTCCCAAATTGTAACCTGATCCTCTACACCCACTGAACAGATGTGGATTGAATAACACAGGCACATTTTCACTTTAAATCTTCTGGAAACGGCCCACACATACTCCATTCTCTCCACCTGGATTTCTCCATTAGGACTGTAACGTTAGTCATGGCTGCTGTATCTTTGCTGAACTCCGAAGGGGGTTCCTTTCTACTCAGTCATTTGAAGTGGTTTATGAACGCCTATTCAAAAACATATTTTTCATCTCTGATAGCTAATTACTGTAAGTTGCTCAATTATTGTTGGTGGGAAATTGACTGAAACGCAGTTGAAGGAATTACACGCCTACATTTGGTCATTGCGATTGAGTCGCACCTTCCACAGATTTTAAATTGAAAATTATACAGGGTTAAATTGGGTTCAACTTCAAAAAGTA